GGCATCAGGAGCCGCAAGCCCTCCTGCCAGGTGTGAGGTGCCAGGACCCAGCCTTTCCTCGTGGTGGAACTCCAGCCTGATCCTGACAGCTGGGGCTGCCAGCCAGCCTCACTGGACCTCTGCCCTGGCCAGAGAGATGGACAACAACAGCTAAGCCACTGTCTGAAAGTCCTCCAGGCCCTGAAGGCCCTGCTGAGCCCCGAAGGCTCCTGGGAACGAAAAGGGTTGGAGATGGCTGCCCCAGGGTGAAGACGGTTACCATGACAACAAGAAGTTACATCCGGGAAACTCCACCTCTGAGCTGTTGACACACAGGGAAGCCCAATGTTGAGCACTTTCCATTGTTTAATGCAATAAGTAAACAGAGGCCTAGAGAGGTTAAGTCACTTGCCCAAGCTCACACAGCCAGGGAGTGTCAGACTGGCAGTCTGACTCCAGATCCCACACCCTTAACCACTCTGCTGCACTGTCTCCCGTGTCGTGGCTGGACTTGCTGGGGACATTGCCTCCCTTCCTCGTCCTCTCCCCAGGACTTGTCACATAAGGAGGACAGCAGCTCTGGCCCTGAGGAGGCAGCAGGACATGATAAAGGGCATAGGCTTGGGTGCCAGGCAGTCCTGGCTTTGAATCCTGGCCCAGCCACCTACTCACTGTGTGACCATGGGCATGTTCAAATGTTCAGGTTGCCAGACAGATTATTATCAATACAGCACCTACTAGTGTCGATCCAATGCTTGCTAAGTATGCTTAGCATGCTTCTTTATAGGAGTTGGACGCTGTATCACCTCTACTTTACAGATGGGGAAAAGGAGGCTTAAATAGGTTACGTGACTTGCCCTAGGTTATAAGAAAGAAGCAAAGCCAGGATTTGAGACCATGTCCTCTAAGGTCAGAAGGCCTAGTCTCAGCCCCTCTGCCCTAGGTGCCACATCTGCATCACATGACATAATGCACGGCAAGGACTTAGCACATGCAAGCCCTTGAGTAACTGCATCTATTATTGCTATACTAAAGAGAGAAAAGATGTATTTGGGCCTAGCTCAGTGCTGACACAGGAATCCCTGATAAACTCTGTGTGCTAATGGTTAAGGTTGTATTGGGCATATCGAGGCCACCTGCAGCAGCAGAGCCTGTTGGCTCAGCCTGGTATAGCTCCAAGGGAAGCAAATGCATCCCTTCTTCTCAGGACTGTACAGTTTACCTGAAGAGTGACTAAGGAAAGACATGACTAAGGCAGTTACATAACTGTTCCCTCTTCCACAAACCAAGGAGGGTAGATGGGAGACCTCAGAGTTCCTTCCAGCCCCAACACATCCACATTCGGCACAGGGTTGGCATGAGGTGAAACGTTATGTAATGCAGCCCGAGTACTGTTCTACAGAGAATTTTCTAGGGCCCAGGCTCCCCACAAAATGACTTTTCCTGTACAAACATCACCAATGAGCCCACCATCCTCTCCAGAACAGCAGTAGATCCATAGGAGGCTCTAGATTCTGACTGTCCCAGCTTTCTAGAAGTGTGTGGTTTTGCTCTCCTTCCATCCTGTGCTAACCCCAAGTTTGAAGGTCTATTGCTCCTCCGTGTCCCCCGTGCTTCAGTAGCTCCTGTCTGACTCTAGATAGACTAAATTCATAGTCAAGTTCTCCCAGCCCCCAGGACCTGCATAAAGGACAGATACTGGTGTTACAATTGGAAGAGACCCTACCAACTTCCTATTCTGAGCCACTCATTGTACAGATGAGGAAACAGGGGCCCAGAGAGATTAAGTGACTTTCCCAAGGCCACATAGCCGTAAGTGGTGCCACTTGGATTAGAACCCATTTCTCCTGGCACCCACCTCAGTGCTGCTGCCAATGCCCCACGTACTTCCTAGGCACCCAATAAATGTTAATTTGTCACCTGATGATGACTCGAGACTTGGGTAGCTTGGTGGTGTTAGCCTTGACCCTGAGTCCAAATGGTCTTACACAGGCCACAGAGGGATTCCTGTGTAAGAAGCGTGATCCCTGTTGCACAAAGCAGATGGGCCACTTCTCAAGGGAAGAAGGATGGAATGCAGTGCTCAGTGTATTCAGATCTGAGATCAAGTCCCGGCCCTGTGATCTTGGGCTGGTCGTTCCCCTGCTCTGAGACTCAGTTCATCTGCAAAATAGGGAGGAATAATCCCTCCTTTATGGGCTTGGGAGAGATAAGTGCAATAACCTATAAAGTGTCAAGCACAGTGCCAGGCTCAGGAGGTGCTCAGTAAAGGTAGAACCAAGATCTTCTTGGTTCCTACATAGTAAGGTCTGTATGAGAAGATGGGAAATAGGACCATAAGACATCATCAATCGTAAAACGCACCACAAATTTATGTACCAACAAGAATGAAAAACACACTTGAATGAACTACGATCCAATGCCTTCTGATCACTTAGAATTTTGATTTTATGCTCCAAGAAAGAGCTCTTTCAACTTAGATGGAAATTTTAACCATCTGTCACTCTTGGGTCTACATAAAATGAAAAATAGAAGGAACAGAAATTGGTTATGGTATCCGTAAGACTTGCCACATTCAGAGCTCACCTCTTCTGAATTCCTTTTCAACTTGGAGTCACTGGTGTCCGTGTTTTCCTACAAATGTCCTCTTGGCTTCAGGAGCATTGGGATAAAGCATTTTCTAGAAGAATCCATGAAAGAGTAAAGTCATGAGTGCTGGGCTCTCTCACTGTCTTTGTCATTATGTGGCTCTAGCTTACTTTTGACTCCGTGTGGGGAAAGTCGCTAAATACATCTGATTCACCAGCTCCCCAGCCCCTTTCACTGGTCGCTAATTGTCCCCTTGGTTTTTTACGAAGGTACTTGCTCCCATTCTGCAAGTTTTGAGATTGGAGATTTTAATGTGTGCCCAGGCAATAGCAACGTTAAGATGACATCAGTCAACAGATACATCTCAATTTCAGGGTTGTGAAAACATTTGTTTTATAGAATATATGAATTTGGTAATGCAATTTTTTAAGGCTCCACTGTGTGTACCTGGGCCCGAGTCAGGTGCTCTAACAGGCATCATTCCTTAGTGTCGCATCTCTTTTGTTTAAGCTTGTTATTGTTATCATTCCTTTGTAGATGAAGGCACTTAGGCTCTGAGAGGTAAAGCAATTTGTCCAAGGTCACAAAGCTGGCAAGCAGCAAAACAGGATTTGAACCAAGGTCTCTTTGATATTGTCACCACAGCAGAGATGGACTCTTCTTCCAAGCTGATGGCTGAGCCTAAAGGGTTCATGCAAAATTAAATCAGCCCTGATCTTGGGAAGCCTTTCCCATCTTTTGATTTTGAAAAGCACGCCTAAATAAACTATGACCCAGTGCTTTCTGATAATAATAATACTCTGTGTCAGGTATGATTTTAGCCACTTTATATGTCCTTGCACATTTAATTCCTCTAATTGCCTTATGAGGTAGGCTCTATTAGTAGCCCCATTTTATAGATGAGGAAACTGAGATGCAGAGAGGTAAAACCATGTACCCAGGATTACACACAGCTGGAAAGGGAAAGAGTTGGGATTCAAATCCAGGCACTTTGGCTTCAGATCTCCCTCTCCTAACCCACTTTCCCCCCGTCTCACCAAAATGGCACAGGAAGCCGTAGGCCACCAACTTCCCTCTCTCTAGCCTTCCCCACCTCTACTCCCCTAAATCCTATTGACTTTCCCTATGGCCAGGCCCCTCTCCTGCTGGGAGCAGGATCTGGGCTGTCAGACTCCAGTCAGATGGATGGCCTTCCCTGGGCAGGCCAGGCTTTCAAGTTTCTTCATACTGCACCCAAACACAACACAATCTAGCAGCCCTGGCTGCTCTTCAGAAAAGACTCGAGGTGGGTGTGGAAAGAAATCTAATTAGAATCCCTCAGAGCCCCAGCTCTTCCTCTTATTAAATTAGCCCTCTTTGAAGTGGAACTCAACTCATTATAAGAATTTGAGTGCAGAGGAACTGTTGTATATGATCCTGATCTGAGAGGCAGTGCTTTCACAATTGCATTTATCCATGTGCTGGTCTCTCCCCATTGGGACAAAGGATGGCCATGGTGGATGACAAATAGTTCCTGCTTCAGAGAAGAGCCAGGTGAGGGCCTGGCTTCCCCATGGGTCAGAGCTACAGAAGTGCAATGTTGAGGACCCCACACAAATGTGGGGAGAGGGGCCTCCCGGGTTTTCTACATCCCAGTCACGGGCCACACCAGAAAGTCCCACCAGGCTGTGGAGGCTGGTGGGAAACTTGGTCAGTCCAGGCCAATGGCTTCATGTGGACTGAATGGCCCAGAAGAAAGACCCCCAAATACAGAACCTCTGGGTCTACATCAGAATCACCTGGCTGCAGATTTCAGGGCCCCACTTCCAGAGACTCTGATTCTACATGTCTGCAGGGGGCCCCAGAATCTGCATTTTTTAAAGCTCCTCAGGGTGATGCAGAGATGCAGCCAGGTTCAGACACCATTGGCCTGGAGCAATTGGGTACCCTGCCGTAGTACTTTGGATCTGATGCCCACCCACCATCCCTGAATCTCCAAAGGGGAGGGGGACACTGACAGAATAGCACTCATTACTGTTGTTACTCTCGTTGCTGCTAGTTGCTGTCTAGCAGGCTCCAACTCATGGCGGCCTCACATACAACAGAACAAACGTTGCCCAGTCCTGCACTGTCTTCATGATCATTGGTATGTTTGAGTTCACTGTTGTGGCCACTGTGTATTTTGAGTGCCTTCCAACCTAGGAAACTCATCTTCCGGCACGATATTAGAGAATATTCTGTTGTGATGCATAGAGTTTCCATTGGTTAATTTTTGGAAGTAGATCACCAGGCCTTTCCTCTTATCCTGTCTTAGTTCGAAAGCTCTACTGAAACTTGTCCACCATGGGTGACCCTGCTGGTGTTTGTAATACCAATGACATAGTTTCCAGCACCACAGCAACATGCAAGCCACCACAGTACAACACACTGACAGATAGGTGGTGGAAGAATCATGTCCAACATGGGGCTCGAACTCATGACCCTGAGATTAAGAGTCTCATGCTCTACCAACTGTGCTAGCTGGACACTTGCTTACTACTGCTACCAGAAAAGGATTCAAGCATTCCATAGCTGGATAAGTGGTTATGGATCGCCTGTGGTCAATTCCTTTTCTTTACCAGATCGCTTAGGGAACTCCTGTCTGATGCACCAGGCTGTTTCCAGACATTCCAATGAGGATGTTTCTGTGTCCTTTATTGAGGGCATAAGAAAGAGGTAATATCTGCCTTGAAAGTGTTAAAAGCAATGTGTTTTTTGAGATTCTGACATCTGCCCATTCTCCTTGCCCTAGTTAAAGTCTTACCTCTCTTAAAAGGCCTTTGCCAAGTACCCTACGCCCCATCCATGCTCCCTTTTCTGGCCTCCCACAGTCCTGTTTCCCATATTGGCTCCTGGACCACCACTCGAGCAGGTCCCTGGCTCCTTGCTGCTTCTCGTTCACTCTGATCTCTACACAGCATTTGGTGATGTGGGGATTCAGAGCCCAGCAATTTGATCTTACTAAAAGGGTCCCTGGGTGGCATTAAAGGTTAAGCATGTGATTACTAACCAAAAGATTGGTGATTCAAATCTACCCACAGGTGCCTTGGAAGAAAGGCCTGGTGATCTGCTTCTAAAAGGTCACAGCCTTGAAAACCCTAGGGAACAGTTCTACTCCGCACACATGGGGTTGCCATGAGTTAGAATGGACTTGATGGCAACTGGTTTGGGTTTTTTTTGTAAATGCAGCAGATATAGTGAATAAAAAACAAACAAACCCATTGCCATTGAGTCAATTCCGACTCATAGCGACCCTACAGGACATAGCAGAACTGCCCCATAGGGTTTCCAAGGAGCGCCCGGTGGATTCAAACTGCCGACCTTTTGGTTAGCAGCCGTAGCTCTTAACTACTATGCTACCAGGGTTTCCAGATATAGTGAATGGAGCTCAAAAAATGGATCTTCTCCAAAGCAAGCCCAGGCCAGGTTCTCAGTTAAAGAACTGTCCTTTAGGAGATCCTCTTGGGTCAAAGGGAGCTCAAGGACCAGGTCCATCACTTCCTTTTCAGCAATGAGGAGCACTGAGGCCCAACTAGGATCACACGAGTCTTTGCTCTCATTCCCATCCTCGCCCACGCAGAAGGTTGACTTCTTGTTCCTTCTGAGTAAGTAAATTAACTTCAGAGGTGTTTTTCCTCCTGGGCAACTATTTCCTGCCCAACAGACATGTTCTGGGAGATCCCACATGGCTCCTCTCCTCCTACAGAGGAAGGAGCTGGGTTGGCCCCAGCAAGTGCGGCCTGGATGAGGCTTCATGTATTGGTGGGTCTTGAGAAAGAGCCACAATGTTCTTGTATAGAATTGCGGTCAGAAGAATGACTCGGTCTCAGTGGTCCTTTTTACTCAATAGAGCTTCTCTCTGGGTGTCTCCAAGTCACATCTGCTTGCCTTTCTGCCCTAAGGGCAAAGTTCCCACACCTTGGGGTGAGGTGAGCTGCCAGCAACAATGTCTCCCCAGTGAATCTTTATCCCTTACCTCCCCCTTCCCAAGACCCTAAAAAGAAGAACAAATCCAAATATGTGATTCCCAGAAAATGTTTTCACCAACAGTCATTAGTCTAACCCGGAAATGGAATAAATCCAAGCCTTGCATTAGCTTGCAAAGAATACCCCTGCTATGATATTACAGATGATGTCAAAGGCTCGCAAACCCAACAGCTTGCAGCAAAACAACCACAGGGTACAACCTTTGAGACTACCCTGCTTCCTTCTTCTGGTCTCTCATTCATACTCTAGCCACACTGCACTCTATTATGGTACACAAGTAATGCAATGCCAGAGATTCATGGCTCAGAACTACTTCTTTGAAATAGTCTTCTGAATCCCGCCACTGATTTTACCCGTTGAGTTGCCAAAGCGTGTTCAGTCACTTGTGCCTTCATCTTCACAACAGCCCTAGGGCAGAATAACATATGGACTTTGGCATCACAGAGACCTGCGTTCAAGTCCTGGCTCTGCCACTGTATGACCTTGGGCAAGTCATTTAATCTCTAAGCCTCAGTTTCTGTGTCTGTAAAATGGGGATGATAATGCTAGCAGGTCTACTATAAAGATTTACTGAGATTAGTATGTAAAAGGCTTATCACAGTGCCTGGCGGGGAGTGAGTACAATGAATGTTAGGCATTATTGTTATTATTATAGTCCATTTTATAGATAAGGAAACTGAGGCACAGAGAGGTAAAGCAGTTTCCCAAAGACACAGATACATGATGGGCAACAAGGCAAACACATCTCTCCTATTCTACTTTCTGGGCCTTTTTTCTTAAACAACCCTGCAGGGTTTAGCCTTAAGAGTGCGTTTGGGAATAAAGGCCCTTCATGAAGTCTCAGGGAACATCAAGTAGGATAAAGTTACAGCAGGAGAAGAGCACCGAGGAGCCAGCTGAAGAGGGAGATCCCTGCCGATTCCTGTCACCTCTTGTAATTGACATCGAGAAACACAAAAATCAAAGAGAAAGTAGAACAAAAGAGGAGGAGGGGTAGAAGAAGAGGAACCTCAGAGTCTGAGGAAAGGAGCTGGAAAAGTAAACATCAAACACATCACAAATTCACTGGCCCCCTTCGATGGCTCCCTAAGTCAAGTTGGGAACCCAGGCTGGCCCTTTCTGGATGGAGAAATGGCTGACAACCGAGGCAAAGGATCCAGCCCCATTGCCAGGAACGGTCGGCACCATCAACAACAGAGGCTCCCAAATTCCTGGTCTCCAATCTCCGCCTTGGAACATTCTCGGGCCAAAAATAAATGCAGGAACCCTATCATGGAGTTTTGGAGCTGGAAGAAAATCCAAGATGTCGCCCAATGTAGCCTAGTCCTTCCAAGCAAAACCACACCAAAACCATGCTAGACAGATGCTAATTAGATGGATGGTTTTAAATTAAATATGGGGGACGGGCCGGGGAAGGGTGCCAAGGATAGTTTGAACAGAAAAGCTGTCCAGAGAAAATAGTGGCAAAAAGCAAAGAATGACTTAAGTAAGCACACACAAAGGAAGCTGGATGCACGTATGGACTTGTTTATGGTAATGGTGAAGGAGCAGCTATGAGTCCCCACATGGCCGGGTGAGAGCTTTGGCCTGGGCCCCTCCACTTTTCAGCCAGGCAGCTGGTCTCTTCCACCCCAGCAGGTTATAAAGTACACATGGATGAGGCCTCCCAGGTCCTGCAGGTTCATCTCTGCAGCCTCATCTTTCGCCTTCCCACCCCTGAGGCCAACCACTGGGACTGCTGTCAGTTTTTGGAACACACCTCACTCTCACTCTCCCTTCTAGACCTTTGCAGCTACTGTTCCCTTTGCCTAGAACACCATTCCTTCACCCCACCTCCCACTTCCAATCCTATCTCTCTCGTCCTTTCTAGAGGTCTGGGCTTAGTCCTAGGAAGCTATTCACAACTCCCACCAAAAAGGCCATGGGCTCCAGCTGCCAAATGCCTGGAAGGCGCCGTGCCCACTCCCACCACAGCCCAGGGCACAGCATCGCTGCCTCCTGACCAGGCTGGAGGCTCTGTGTGGGCAAGGCCTAGGGCCACCTTGTCCAGTCATATCCCCAGGACTGAACATAGAGCAGTAGACAATAAATATCTGGTGAATGAAAGAAGAAACAAATGCTATTTTCCCACAATTTGGCCGACAGTTTCAATTTTTGAGGCTGAAAATAATAAGAAGTGGATTGGTAATATGCCCCTAAAGATCTTTAAATAATAACAGACATTTTTTAAGCGTTTTTTATGTGAAATGGAACACATAAAGGTCGATATCCTAGGTATTCAACCGAAAAAACCAACTCATTGCCGTTGAGTAGATTCTGACTTATAGTGACCCTATAGGACAGAGTAGAACTGCCTCATAGGGTTTCCAAGGAGCACCTGATGGATTGAAACTGCCGACCTTTTGGTTAGCAGCCGTAGCTGTTAACCACTATGCCAGCAGGGTTTCCATCTTAGGCATTAGTGAGCTGAAATGGACTGGTATTGGCCATTTTGAATCAGACAATCATGTGGTCTACTATGCCCAGAATGACAAATTGAAGAGGGAAGAAGGGCATTGCATTCATCATCAAAAAGAACAGTTCAAGGTCTATCCTCAGGTACAACACTGTCAGTGATAGGATAATATCTGTACGCCTATAAGGAAGACAAGTTAATATAACTATTACTCAAATTTACCCACCAACCACTAATGCCAAAGATGAAGAAATTGAAGGTTTTAACCAACTTCTACAGTCTGAATTGATCAAACATGCAATCAAGATGCATTGATAATTACTGGCGATTTGAATGCTAAAGTCGTAAACAAAGAAGAAGCATCAGTAGTTGGAATATACAGCCTTGGTGATAGAAACTGTCCTGGATACGCATTATAGAATTTTGCAAGATCAGTGAGTTATTCATTGCAGCTACCTTTTTTCAACAACATAAACGGTGACTATACACATGGACTTTACTGGATGGAATACACAGGAATCAAATTGACTACATCTGTGGAAAGAGACAGTGGAGAAGCTCAACACCACCAGTCAGAACAAGGCCAGGGGCCAACTACAGAACAGACATTCAATTGCTCGTACACAAGTTCAACTTGAAGCTGAAGAAAATTTTAAAAAGTCCACAAGAGCCAAAGTAGAGTATATCCCACCTGAATTTAGAGGTCATCTCAAGAACAGATTTGGCACGTTGAATACTAACGACTGAAGACCAGACGAGTTGTGGGATGACATCAAGGACATCACACCTGAAGAAAGCAAAAGGCCATTAAAAAGACAGGAAAGAAAGAAAAGACCAAAATGGATATCAGAAGAAACTCTGAAACGTGGTCTTGAATGTAGAGTAGCTAAAGCAAACAAAAGAAATGATGAAGTAAAAGAACTGAACAGAAGATTTCAAAGGGCAGCTCCAGATGACAACGTAAAGTATTATAATGAAATGTGCAAAGACCTGGAGTTAGAAAACCAAAAAGGAAGAACATGCTCAGCATTTCTGAAGCTGAAAG